TAGTCACGAAATCACTACTACTCTTTTCTGTCAAACTCTATCCAACAAAAATGTAAAAAAAACAATTTACGTGAATTCAGTTGAAAGTTAAGAGTTATCAGCCAGGTTGAAATTGGAAATTCGTTCGAACGTTTTTGTTTCATTGAAGCGGTCAAAGTGTGCCTTGCGAATTGAATAGTAGTTCTCATGGTATTTTGTCTGATCTTTCTGAATCTGATAAAATTTTCCGAGAGAAGTGATCAATCACAAAACATTAATTTGTCTCAATTCCGGATCTGCATTTTTTTTTCATAATATGCCATTTCGAAAAGTTTCAATATAGAAAAGTCGCTGCCAAATTTCAACAAATTACGAATCATTTCTGAAATATCGGCCATTTTCGGCCGTATCCTTGTTATGGCTGGCCAATATGATTTTTCACATGTATATGTATTGTATACATCAACTCGTCAGGATTCCCCCTATTCACCACTTGGCTATGTGAGTTTCCACATGAATACCCTGTAAAGGTGTGTTACTTCCACAATACAAAAAATCATTTTTTCATGTTGAAAACGAGAGCAGATTCGTTCCCGAAACGTCCAAAGATAAGTAAGAATTTGATATTTTTCTATATACCTTTTATTTCTCTTCTCCAAACCTTTTTCAATACAAATCGTCACTGACAAGCTAGTGAATTTTTGTTTTAGGCTCTCTGATAGGAAAATTCTTCAAACGCAGTGACATTTTGGGGCAAATCATCTATGATTTGTCCTAACTACACGTAAATTGAAATAGAATAGAATAGAATAGAATATATTACATCCATGGTATACAAGTTATGGACACGTCATACAAAGAAACAAAGAAATTACAAACAAAAATTACAAGGGATAAAATCATTAAAAAATCAAGAAAAATTTAAATTAAAATAGCACCAGTTGTCTACAAGAGTCGTTGATCAACTCACTGAAGTGGTTGATTCTGTAGAGACTCATTCTGACAAGAATCTTTCTCAACGTTTTTTTAAAACGATCCAACGGCAGATCTCTGATATCTGTAGGAAGAGAATTGAAAAGAGATATTCCTATGGATTTGCTCTTTTCTTATCTCCTTTTATGAGGTACAATGTTATGACCATATCTGGTACTATAATCATGAATGTCTGAATGCGTAGTGAATGTATGTATATTTTTTCTAACATGTATGAGATTTTCGTAGACAATTTGTGAATATAAGGTCATAATACCTAAAGCTTGAAAAAATGGTTGGCAATGTTCAGTATAACTAACCTTTGCAATGCTTCGTACAGCCGCTTTTTGTAGTGTAAAAACTCTTTGTAAGTGTGTATAGCTTGAACTACCCCAGCATAGCAAACCATAGCTCATCACTGAATGAAACATTGCATAGTATGCTGTTAAAGCAGCTTCTTGGCTCACAGTTGTATTCATGTTTTTATTTCATATAGAGACGAGAAGAGAAAATCCCAAAAAATCTGGAATGAAGGAGAAAATACCGAATAGATTTAGAGATGATGCCTGAAAGAAAAGTGAAAACTTCCGTCTTCGGAGAGAATGAGGGCCGGAAGGAAAACACGGCGAGTTTCTCGGCAGGCGGCTTCCTCGTAAACTAGATTATTCACAATAAACTTTCGCTGCTATTAAATTATTTAATTTGAACGGTAGCAGGGGCGTTCCTGTAGTGGAGTTAAGGCCGAAGTATAACCTTGTTAGCCGGCACAACTGAGTTATGGTCTTATAATGCCGGGAAATGAGAAAAAGAACCTCAGCACAACTTCGGCACTCGTCAGTCTTCACCAGGCGGGCGGTCGGTACTTTTCACTCCGCGAAAATTTGAAAATGGGACATTTAAAGTGCTTCTTTTTGTGTAACGAAGGGGTTATATTTAGGGTGCTGGTTCCGAGTCAAGATGGCGCTGGTTTCAACTCTAACGGCCATCATGTCTCATTTCTTCTTCACAGGATACAGATAACGCATTTTGAAGCTAGAGTTACTACTCCATAACAGTAAGTTGAATGTTATGCATATATTTTTTTTTCTTATTGCTTGGAGCGCACGAAAGGGAATCCCTATAATGTTCAGAGAACATCGTAATACCGACATAAAACTCACGCTACTAACATGAACAGACATAGATAGATAGATAGATAGATAAGCTTTATTGTCTAAAATGAGCACATTTTGTCGACAAAGTCAGTATCTTGCGATACATTGATTGCAAGATTATGAATAAATAAAACAGAACAGGAATATATAAAAATAATACAGAACAAAAATATATAAAATAAAATAACATAGACAAGTTTCATTATTATTACAAACAACAATCATCTTTAAAATCAATAATATCGAATAATATGAATCTCTAATTATTCTCACATATCATAGAAAGACTAGAATTTGTAGGCAAAGTATTCATCCAAACTGTACAAGCCTTTTTCCACTAACATATCTTTGACAGATCTACAGAATTGTTTCAAATCATTGATCATAGTTGTACATTCTGGTACATGATTGTGAATCTTTTTACTCCTATAAATTAAGGATTGTCTCGTTAAAGATGAACTAGGCAGAGGAAGAGCAAGGTTCCTTTTATTACGCGTAATCTTGTCTATGTTTGGGTTCATGAATAATTGTTACCTCTAAAACTCACAGTTATGAAAAAAAGATAAGGAGTTTGTTTGTCTGGGATTCTCCATCTGCTAAACATGGAACTATAGGTTGATCATTTCCTTTGAAAAACTAACTTTCAGTTTGATGGACACCATTCACAGGGGAAATCAGGAGAATAAATCCGTCCTTCTGATCACAGGACAATTCAAGAGAGTGAAGGAAACTGAGACTATAGATTGGTATTGGAAGACTTTAAAATAATCTCCTCCATCATAATTTAGGCAGATGTGAAGTAAAATAAATGTGCATTCAGATACCGCAATACTTATTATATGTAAAGAATGAAGTCTTGGTTTTTCGAATCTCATTAGATCAAATGAAGGCATAATCAATTATACCTCCTAGCTTGCTAGCCCATGTCTCATGAGTCTTGATGTTTCGATAACTGATGACGAATATAATTAGATAGATATTCTAGCATCTGCTCATATGATTCAGTTTGAACATTTCAATGGGAGTTGAAATGTTCAAACTCTTGATGAGTTACCATTTTGCAGGCACTAATTTTTCCTGAATTACTTAAAGGGTCAAAGCACCATTTTCTTGGACTCATCTCCATAACAGAGGCAAAATGAAACCAACTTTTTATTTGTTCTAGGCAATCCATCATATTCTTCATTCGATTTTTTATCCAGAAATGATTTCGGGATGAAAGAAATTCTAGAAAAGAGATGGTGGAAACAATTTTGTTGATTGTGTTAATGATGAATGTGCATTTATTTGGAATGAAGTCTAGATAGGTATCGCAATAGTTGTCTTACTTTTTTGAACTTTTTGAATTCTCTTGGGACATAATCAATTGTATCAAGCATGGAGTTTCAATTTTCCAAGAACTTGAATACCAATATCTCAGCAAAAACTCTGTCTATTTTCTTGATCCAAATACTTTTTTATATGGAATCATTGAAAATATGCAAACATATCTTTATCAAAAAATAGTTCAAACCTCTTCTAAAGTGATCATGGGTTTTGATATGATGATAATGAAAGATCTAAGAACCATATTGTCCATAAATTGTAGAATGGGTTCCAGGTCATAAGGTAGTATTAGTAGGCTTCAACAATTTTAACTGTAACGTCAGAGACTATTAACTTCCTTTTTTCAAATGGTACCATCATGAAATTTAGATATGTATCTATCATTCGATGTGGCAGTAAATACGATCTGAAAGTGTGCTGTGAAAAAAAAATTAAATGGCCATCGTTATGTTGATCATACAAGTCACACCTACTGATTGCTCCGTGACTTCAATTCAATATGAAATTCATATTTTGTTTCATGACAAATGATCATATTTTCATATATCATGGAGGAATTAGTATGTGTAAATTTTGTGTTCAACAAGAGCTTTGACTTTGACATCACATGCGGTATTGAAATGTTTGACAATTGGAAAATAGACATTCATCTCATCTACTGCCACATCTCAAAATTACAGTCGCTGACGTTCCAGTTGAAGTTTGATTCCATCTGCCCTTCTGTTTCTTACAATCGAATAATTCTTAGCGGCACTATATATCTTGGAGCCTTTTTTTTTTTTGACAGAATATTTTCGGGAATTTCAAGATTTCACAGTTTTAACAGTGGCCTTCATAATATGTTACTTGAATTTTCGAATTGAATATCAAAAGAATACATGTTTTTTCTACGGCTATAACACAAAATTGCTCTTGTTTCACTGTGTTCGATACATCGATGAGGTACTTTGTATGTCATCAATTTTATTTCCGTATCTTATATCACAATGACTTCATTGTGTTATCATTTCAAAAAAATCTCATCGCTCATGGAATGTCAAATTGCAAGCAATGACAGCTCTATCTAATAGATGAGCATTACTTGACAGGAAATCACATGACTACAAGCCGAAGAAATCGAAAATGCCGCTGTTATCTGTTTCAGCCGTAGAAAAATTATAGTGCATAACTTGCACGGAATGCTAATTTCCTACTCGAATGATTGCATTCTCGTAGGAAATCACTATCATTCCGTGCTCGTTGAACAATATACTATTGTGTACTTATATGTATATAGCCTCTGACAATAATTTACAATATTCCATACGTTGAATGTAGAAGAACTATCAATGTATAGGTTTTTTCAGGAAAGAAATTACACAAATACTATGCCACTAGAAAGATACGTCAGAACCTTGGTTGCTACGCCGAAGAAAGAAGACTCACGAGCTTCCCGATGACATGTAAGACCTAAGAACTACTTTGCAAAGATGCTAGAGCCCCCAAGACCCAATCTGATCTACCCTACATCTCAGAAGACTCAAAGCTGATCTAGCTTAAATCTCAGAAGACCAACACACCGCTACTCACTTTGCAAATTCATCGTCGCCGGAAACATGCTGGCTCTGTGGACGTCCTGCACGTGCGGCCTGGCCCCCATAACAGCACACTGCCCCCCGCCGGCCCCCCCATGGTGCACCCCCATGGGCCCCGCAGCCCCAGGATTGTAGCCCCTCGCCATCGAGGCGGCAGCAGCCGTGTACCTATACGCAGCCTGCGACATCTGGCTGCACGAGGTCAGATCTCCGTAGCTGCAAGGCATGTTGCCCAGTCCCGTGGGGTCCATGGTAGCACCTTGTAAGCAGCTGGAATCGAAGGTGGCTTGGTTCAGGTAGGAGTAGTCCATAGCAACTTGTGGATCGGATCTCAGCACCGCTAATCAGATCAGCTGGCTATCGAATTATGACGGGAGTTCACGGGTTTTTGCTAAGTCGCGTTTGGTCGTCGGTGTATGACTGAAATCAAATGATAAGCCTAATTCAATAACGGCCAACTTCGGGGGAGGATCTGGAAAAAGTGTGTAGGGGGATGAAATCTCGAAAACGTTGCGAGGGATGCTGGGCGCGGGGCGTGGCTGGTTCCATGACAACTGAGCGCGACCAATGGGGGCATCGCGCGCTCGTCTGGCTGGATTGGGATTGGCGGGGTTGTGTGACGTCAGGGGTTGCTGGTGCACGCGACAGAGGGTGGGGTGTGGGACGGCAGGAAAGCGCGTACGATGGGGATGTAAGGATGCTGCAGGTCTCAATCGAATTTGCATTCTGATCTTATCTGTTTTCGTTTTGGTGTTTGCGTATCAACACTCAACAGTTGTAAGGGGAATGGGAGGGGGGTGAATTTGACTTCTTGCAAGGCACTTGTTCAGGTTTTTTGTTGATTTGCACATGATTGATTGAAAATTGGATATTCTTCTAATGAACATCACCTCAATAGTTTTACTTTCTCATTAATACAAGTTTTTTTTTCTCATTCATCATTAGTTTCAAATGTTATTGGGATTCCTGAACAATTCAAGTCAAATTCAAATGAATTAAGGGGGAAGGGAAGCATATCGACAACAGCGGAGAGTATTGACATCAACCCGAATGCCCTTAATGACTACTACTGTTCGATTGCCAAAAAGTTAACAGCTAATCTAGTATACCAACAGGATCCTTTGAGTTACCTTGACAATACTCAGTGCCATGCCCATTTCACATTAACACCAACAAATGTTCATGAAATAAAACAAACACTGATGGAAATAAAAAACGATAAGTCCTCTGGATTAGATGGATTAACTAGAAGACTTCTACAAAACTTACCATTCAGGGTGCTCTCGGTACTAGCAGAACTAATAAATAATTCTTTCGAAACTGGAGTTTTTCCCTCAGGTTTAAAGAAGGCACTTGTTATGCCTCTTTATAAGGGTGGTGATACCACCACTCCTTCAAATTTCAGGCCAATCTCGTTGTTGTCCACAATTTCGAAGATCATAGAAAAATTAGTGAAGAAAAGATTGTTGAAATTTTTAACAAATGAAAATATAATAAATGAATGTCAATTTGGGTTTCAAACTTCCAAAAATACTAATGACGCAATCTTCTCATTTTTGGAACAAGCATACATGAGTTTGAATGAAGGTGAAGCTATTGCAGCAGTATTCTGTGATTTTTCAAAGGCATTTGATTGTGTTAATCATGGAATACTGCTGCAAAAAATGCATCGCTATGGAATAAGAGGAGCAAATCTCGAGTGGTTCAGGTCATACCTTGATAATAGATCACAAATAGTAAAAATAAACAATGTGTGTTCTGACATTAAGGCTACACATTGCGGAGTACCTCAGGGATCTGTTTTAGGACCTATTTTGTTTTTACTGTATATTAACGATCTCACTACAATAAATATCAACGGATCCTTCACAATTTTTGCAGACGATACCACTTTATTATGGCATGGAAAAAACACTGAAATTTTGAAACAAGTGGTCTCTTCAGATTTATCCAAGGTTAAACAATGGTGTGACTCAAACTTTCTCTGTTTCAATGTGGATAAGACGAAAATTGTAAACTTTAAATTCAGCTATGATAACTTGCAACTGGATGGTATCAATATCGCAGAAACACACTGTACTAGGTTTCTTGGATTGCATATTGATAATAAGTTGAAATTCAAAGAACATATTACATCATTATGTAAGAAGTTAGCCTCTGGATCATATGCTGTAAGAGTTGTCGCAAATGAACTCGACATATCCACAGCCAGATCGAGTTACTTTGCCCTAGTAGAATCCCATCTACGATATGGCATTGCGTTTTGGGGATTTTGTAATCAAGAACTCCTCAATCAGGTATTCATACTACAAAAGAGATCTCTTAGATATTTGTGTAGAGCTAACTACAGAGATAGCTGTAGACATCTCTTTGTACAACAGAGGATTCTAACAGTAGTGAGCATTTTTATTCTGGAAGTGGTGTGCCTGATTCACAAGAGATGCGCTACTGATACTCGTGAAGATAGATCTTACAATACCAGACAGAGTAGGAATCATAATATTCATTTGCCAATACCTAAACTGAATTTAACAAAACACTCTATTATGTATGAAGGGAAGAAAATATTCAATAACCTACCACAGCTAACCAAGATTATAGTGGATCATAAAATTTTCCGAAAATCGGTTAAAAATCTGCTTCTTGGGAAAGCATACTATAGCCTGCAGGAATATTATGTTGACATGCTTCAAAGGCCGTAAAATGATGTTGCATATTATTATTCTTATTGTTATTATTAGTTTCTTCAGTGCACTTGCATGTAGATTAACATGTTGTTATGTGCTTGCTGTGAGATGTTTTTATATATATATATATTGTGATTCAATTGCATTTATATTATGCAAAGATATTATGTTTTTTTTTTTATTATTGTTAATATTTCCTGTCTTTCATTCATTTCATTCTTTATTTTGACTGTATGTATTGTATTTACACCTATCTGTTTTATATTTAATATTATATGACCAAATTTATATTTATATTTTATAACTTACTTTGTCAATAAGAATCTTCTTGGACAATAAAGTATATCTATCTATCATACAATCAGTTATTCAGAATATTTTTGTATCAATGAGGTACCCACTATTTTTTGAGATCGATCCAGAAATACAATTCAGTGGCCATGAATAACAAGCACAAGAATTTGAAAGTATCAAATTATTAAGCCATTTAGAAAGTATCAAATTTTTTAGCCCTGTTCTGATTTCATTAGGATAAAATGATCATTCTTATACAGGGTGATTCAGGTTTTAAGGCACAAACTGAAATGGGAGATAGATCTCATCCTTTTAATCAGAAAAGTTTATACAAACATTAATCCGATCTCGTTCAGTAGCGGAGCTACAGGGGGTCAAAGTTTAATTATTTTTTTCTATTAATTGAAATATCTCGCTTACTTTTCAAGATATCATTTTGAAATTTGGTTTGGTCAATACTTCCTAGAAGATCAACATTTCAAGCATTTTGAAGATCTTCAAAATCTACAGAATGATACGTTTTTGGGGGTGGAGGCTTCTTTATCCCCTCCAAACTTTTTCGTAGTACGCCTCTGGCATCTTTCAGTGATCAAATTGTGTGGATCGTTCAATTTGAAGGCTTTTTTTGCTCTTCAATTTTTTCCGAGAAACGAACCGTTTTTGAGATAAATAAGCATATACGTTCTAAAACATGTTAATTTTGCTTATGTTTCACTCAAATTATTGTATTCTTTGACAAAATTCGTTGATAATGCAAAAAAATGTTCTAAGAACATTGCATTCTCAGTCTATCTAAGGCCACAAAGGACATCATGTTATGATTAAGCCACATGTAAGTTATGGTAATTTACCAACCTACTTTTGGTAAATGTGGCTTTATCAGTCCACAATATTTTTATTGATCTATTCATAATTGTCAACCGCTTTCAAAAAGCGGTGGTACAATGCCAATCTTCTTAATATGATGTATAATGATATATATACATCATATTATTCATTCGATTTGAAGGAGAATGTCAATTCTCAATTTCGGAGGATTTTATTTTTTAATTTTCATGTTCTCCTTTTGAATGTTCATCAGATATAATTCAATGTTCGACGTGGCAAATAGCCAGGAAAGTAGTTGTTTTCTGTTGAATATTCAGAATGATGTATGCATATACATATTTTTGACTTAAGGAGAATGCAAATATTTCAGAAGATTTAATATTTTATTTTCAAACTCTTATCGTGTGTGTTCAATAGATATAATTCAATGTTCGTCGTGGCATATAGCCAGGAAAGTAGTTGTTTTCTATTGAATAAACTGAAAAAGAGTAGATATTCTCATCACATAGAGAATGCGAATTCTCAATGTATTGCTTCATATAAATATATATTCATTTTTGTATGTTCATAATTCATCTGAGAATATTCCTTTTCAACACTTTTATACCCAATCAGGGGGTTCAAACTTGATCGATGGAAATTTGTGATTTTTATAGACCTCTAATCGCAGATTCGTGATAGAGTCTCAATTCAGAATTTCTTTTCACGCCCTGTATGATGAATGTCAATTTATCATACACCCAAAAGCAAGAATTATCAATCTTTAGTTCATCACATACACTTATAAATTGCATGATATTTCGGTTACGCTCGGTTCAAATTAATTTTACAAAATAAGTAATAAATTCAGATATAAATGATACGTATAAACCGACAAACGACGATACTTTGACTGTAGTGTGCCATATATAATTTTTTTTTTATTATTTCATTTTCAAGAAGTATAACCTTCTAGCCAAATGGGTTTCTGAACTAATCTACCACTTCTAGTGTATGTTGAATTATCGTTTACATTCTTGCAAGTTCTCTCTATTTATTTCTACATCATTTGCATTAACATCATCCTGGCTTATTTCTACCTTATTCCTAACATTACAAGTCTCTTTCTCTTTACCATCAACATATAAAACTATACTGTTTCTATCCTGTAAATTTGGCTCATCAAATGATTTCCTAATAAACTTAGAATTCCTTCTCAAAGTAGAACCATCTTCATCCTTTACCACATATGACCTAGGTGTATCACATTTATCAATAATACTCCCTGGTACCCATTTCTTTTCCTTTTGTATAACTACATTCTGATGTAAGTCAAAATTAGGTCTGTGTGTAGCATTTCTATCATAATATCTTTTTTCGTTCTCTTGTTTTCATTGGAAATTCTGTTTGGTGATGTCTGATAATTTTGGCTTCAACTGGCAACTATGTGTTGGTAAGGAAGTTCTTATCAATCTATTAAACAAAAGTTCTGACCCATCTATCAAGTGTTTATTTAACAACCC